GGGCTCTCCCCCCCCCCAACGCCCGAAGTATGTGACGTCATTAGAACAAAGGCGGACCTGGGGATTCTAGGGAAGCCCTCTTGCTCCGGGGAGGGGCAGAGAAGGAGGAGGAGGAAAAGAAGGAACGCCACGATTGTGACGTCACGGGAGGGTGTGCGGATTCCGGGGAAAGCCCCACCCGCAGCTGGGCGTTCCTTCCCAGCGGCGGGAGAAGCTCTTTTTTTTTTTTCTTTTCTTTTCTTTTTTAATCCCCGCCATGGCTGCTTTGCAGTTCCTGCTGATGATCCCGGCCTTGGGCAATTTCCTTTTCACCTTCGGGACCGGCGTGGAGCTGATCCGTTTTATTTCCTTCCGTGCCGTCTTTTTGCAGCTGCCCGCGGGGGCTGTGTCTCCTCCTGCCCCCCACGGGACCGGCGTGAATCCAGGTAAGAACGGGGAGATCCCGAAGCAGGACCTGCGATTTGGCTGTGTGCGGCGTGGGCTGCTTTCCCAGACATTTGGAGAGGTGGGTGGTTGTTGTTTTTTGTTTTGAGGTTTTTTTGGGGGGGGATGAGTTTGATCCTCTCCGATCTAAATCGATCTCCGTGGGAGAACGACCAGCAACCGATTCCTCGGATGGGTTTAAAATAGCGAATTAAAACTTAAGGCGCCTCGGTTGCAGCGCCAGGGAAGATTTCCATGCTGCAACTCGCTTCGCGTGGTCCGTGTGGCAACGTTTCGAGCCACAGCTTGCTTCTGCCCGGAGGCCTCTTTGAAAAACATGGCAAGACTGGAAATAGAAATGAGTGAATGCTCCTCCGTGCTGCCAAACATTTATGGCTGGGCACGCACGCTGCACGGATTTGGGCTTTTATTTACAGTAATGGATGGCACGAGCGAAGTATTATCAGTGGCTGTGTTCTGACAGTATAATAAACCCGAACAGAACATCCACATTGGTGGCTTAGACTATCCTGTGAATCCAACCACCAGTGAGAGTGTATTGAACAAATCATTGCCAAATTGTAGCCATATATAAGATGTTGAAAGCAATCGAACTGTCATCCAGCTGTCCTCTGCTAGGAATGTTTGGTTCTTGCTGCCCTCCTGAATAAGCTGCTAGGTCAAAAACTTTGCAGTAATATTTAGAAGTCATCTTTGGCAGGATTCTGCTTCTGTCACTGAAAGATCTGGGCATTTGATCAAGGATTAAGGCTGGTTTTCAGGCGATACTCAGTCCCAGAAAACTCTTCCTATCCCTACGGCTTGCACAAAATTTTCATACTCCTCAAAATGATTTTTTCCCTTGTTTTACTGTCTTTGGATTGCAAACATTACAGTCCTTTTATGCTTTCTGCTGTGGGAGTGAATATTCAGGATGCTGAGTGAGCTGTGGCCACCAGGTTTTGAAGTGCAACTTGGAAAATATAAGGGGGGGAAAAAAATCAGATGTCTAAAGGCCCGTGACCTTTCACTGCATTCCCAGTTCTCCAGACTGGGTTGGACAGACTATGGACTGCCTGAGACTTCAGGATTTCATTTGGTAGCCCCAAAGCACCCCTCTTTGCTAACTGTAGATGTAATATTTTTTCTATGCAGGAGTTACCTGAGACCTCACAATTATTTCAAGAATTCCGCTAGAGCCGTGATGGTGAACCTATGGCACGCATGCTGGAAGTGGCATGCAGAGCCTTCTCTGTGGACATGCGCGCCATTGCCCCAGCTCAACCAGCTGGTCGTTGGGTTTCCAAGGCATGCATGTGGGACAGCCAGATGGTTGTCGGGTTTCCGAGGCATGGATCTGTGCCAGCCAGCTGCTCATCAGGTTTCTGAGGCACACATGCATGCGGCCAGCTGCTCATCAGGTTTCTGAGGCGCACATGCACGCCAGCCAGCTGCTTGTCAGGTTTCTGAGGCGCACATACATGTGGCCAGCTGCTAATCGGGCTTCTGAGGCACGCCTGCGTGCCAGCCAGCTGTTCTTTGTGTTTCCAATGCTCTGTGTTTGGACACTCTGTTCTTAAAAGGTCGCCATCACTGCTCTTAGAGCAACAGTCTCCAGCCTTTCTGGCTCAGTTAACCAGTGGGGGAAATGGCAGTGGAGGAGGAGAGGGGATGGTTTTGCAGGTGTGCTGTTATTACAAATGCAGTTGCGTAGGTGCACGCCCATGCACACACCCACCACTTCTGCAGCCCAGTTTTGAACTGGCTATGGCCCGGCACTGGGCCATGGATTGGGTCTTGGGGACCCCTGTTCTAGGGCATTGTTCATCAATCTCAGCCATTTTAAGTTGGGTGAACTTCAACCTCCCAGCTGGCTGGGGAATCCTGAGAGTTGAAGTCCACCCACCCACCTTAAAGTTGCATTTGACAAAACTCTACTCTCAGCTAAAAAAGGTGATGTAGACATTTCTAAACCTCTTTGGCAAATCTTCTTTTATGTCCTGCTGTATACAGGGTGTAAGATTCCTCCCTTGTTCTCTTGCAGATGACATCTCGAATCCTCGGTGGAAAACTGCCCTAAGTGATCCCAAGATTCTGCACTCGCTCACAGTGGACGTGGGCCTGATCATCCTTTTTATCCTTCAGCACAGCCTGATGGCTTCCGATCGGGTCAAAAACTGGACCTGCAACTGTTTTGGGGTCTTGCAGAGAACGGTCTATGTTTTTTGCACAGATGTATCCCTTCAGGTAGGCAGACTGATTTAGAGTATTGAAGTGGGAAGCTGTACAGGTACAGCTCAACTTACGGACGGTGCACCAGTTGAAGTTACGATGTCACAGGGGTGGGCTGCTGGGGGTTCGCAGGGGTTCAAGAGAACCTCTAGCTAAGATTCTGTGTAGTTCGGACAATCCCCCAAATCCCACTCCTGGATGGCCTCGCCCGCCCCTCCCAGGAGTCCCCATGCAGCCCGTTTTGAATGCAGGTAAGTTCAGGACACGAACAGAGGCTTGGGGAGGGCGAAAAAGGGGCCTTTTGGAAAGCTGGAAACAGGCCCGTTTCCATCCTCCAGAGCCTGGGAAGGCTGGAGGAAAGCCTCTGGAGCCCAGGGTGGGCAAAAACGGCTCCCTCCGCCATGGTGCAGGAGGCTGACTAGGCCATGCCCACCCAGCAGCCCGGCAGAGAACCCCTTGCTGAAAAAAATTTGAAGCCCACCCCTGGACTCCAACTTTAATTGTAACTTCAAGGAAAGTTACCAACTTTCCCTGAAGTTACAATTTCTGCCCCATCCTCACAGACAGGTGATCACATTTTAGCTGCTTGGCATCTTTATAATTGGTTGCAGCATCCCATGGTCACTTTATTGCTTTTTGTAAATTTTTTTGGGGGGTTGGGGTCATTTTCCGGCAAAAACACCCATTGGAAAAGCTGGATTCAGACTCAGGACCATGTGATTTGCTTAACAGCCACAGTGACTCACTTGACCACAGTAGTAAAAATTGAGTGCAGTCCCATGGTGACTCGACTTACGACCACAATGACTTATCATCAAAATTCCAGTGTCAATTGTGGCTGTAAGTCAAGGTTTAGACGTAGAATTCTTCATTGTGTTGTAAACTACAAATTGAGTTTCTTTCTCAACTCAGAGAAATGGGTAGGTTTTTCCCCCCCAAAAAATAGATAATAATGACTATAATTTTAACTTGCATTTAAACTTGCATTGTTTTGATAAGTACAACTTGCCTTCAGAACTTGTGTTGAAGGCTTTTAAGAACAAATTGTACAGCCGTTTGTCTGAAATGGTAGAGGGTTTCCTGCCTGAGCAGGGAGTTGGACTTGAAGACCTCCAAGGTCTCTTCCAATTCCATTATTTTGATTGATACCCTGCAAGACCTGGAATTTCTCACATTCAGTCATGTTAAATATCTTTGCAGTATCTGCTAGTATTGTCATTTTTTTTTCCTTTTAACATAGTTGCTGATGAGGTATTGGCAGCCAGTACAGGATGGTCCTATGCTCTGGAACACAAACATTGAGCCATGGATCACTTGGGTTCCACTCATCTGCTTTATCCTCCATTTCGTCTCTTGGCTAATCATCTTTAGCATTATTCTCATCTTTGATTATGCAGAACTGATGGGAGTCAAACAGGTACTATGTTATATTTGTTTTTCCCCTT